TCTTCTTCTTCTTCTTCTTCTTCTTCTTCTTCTTCTTCTTCTTCTTCTTCTTCTTCTTCGTCTTCTTCTTCGTCTTCTTCTTCTTATTCTTCTTCTTTTTCTTCTTCTTCATCTTCTTCTTCTTCTTTTTCTTCTTCTTATTCTTTGTCTTCCTCTTCTTCTTCTTTATATCTATCATTCTTTTCTTCTGTGCTCTCGCCCTCTCCCTCCGCATAATTTTATGCTTGCCGTTTCCTTCCATTTTCCTCTATTTTTCTTTATGGTTAATCCTTGTCATTTGCTTCTTCCTTTTCCTCTACACTGCCGCCACACTGAATAATAGCAGTTTCGCAAGAGGTACAAAGAAGTTCGCAGCAATGGGTTATTGTGGTGAGAAACCGAGATTCTGAGTTCATTGTATTCCTAATCCATTTCCACTACGGGACAATCATCAACTCAGTCATGCTGCGAAAAAAACGTTCATATTATCAATCATTTAGTTTCATTCCTGCGCAGCGACGTCATGCAAATCACGTTTACCGTGTTTTCTAACATACGTTAACGACTCATGGTATTTCTATCATAAAGTATTTAGATAATATATAGGCGTAACACACAAGAAGTATGTGAGAGTAGCCTGACAATAGGCGAAAACGTCTGTACATGGATGTGAGTTGTCATAACAATTTTAATGTTTCCCCGTCTAGTCACAATTCTTCGCCAAGTGCGGTAGTTACAAAATCTATTTTTTTTGTACTACGGACCTCTATCGTGTATACATACATACACTCTGTATCCTGCAAACCAAACATCGAACACCGTAATAAGCATAGCAGTAGCATATAAATCAATGTAAAACCGTCGCATTTATTCGAATTAATTTATTAATATCTGCTGCTCAGAGGTGCAATACATCGCATAAATAAAAAAAGGAGAAAAAGAGAGAGAGAGAGAGAGGCAGTGAAGAAAAGAGAGAGAGAAAGAGAGAGAGCGCAAGAGAGAGAAGGGGAAGCAGAGAAGAGAGAACGGAGAGAGCGAGAGGCGAGAGCTGGAGAGAGGGAGAAAGGACGAGAGGAAGTTGGGGGAGAAAAAGAAAAAAAACGGAGAAATAACTTTCCGTAATGAAATGTCATTTTCTATTGCTACTCGGTACACGACATTTTTTACTCAGGTGTCGTGGACACAGATGTGCTTCTATTACCTGAACAAAAAGTACCTGCCGTATTCGGCACAGTAGGCCTACAGCCGCTGAGTTAACAGAATGAAAGGTGAGAATAACTAGTTTGAAACCGTGTAGAACATTGATTCTACCATTGTTCACGTTCACTCAATATGCGCTAGACAGTGGGATTCTGTATACGGGCCTGCCAGTTAGGGCATCACGGATAACATCATTAGTCGTTGGGCATTTGTTCTTGTATTTTTGTTGGTCTTGTCCTTATTAATGTCCTTTGGCGAGTTTTCCTATTACAGAGGTGATTTGCAGGCACGGTATAATCGTAATCATCGCTGGCTGGCACCGGGCATTGTTACGCGGAGATGAGAATTTAATTGTCACTAGTACTGTTCTATCAATGCCTACGGTCGCATCGTGGGTTGGGCCAGCCAAAAGAAAGCGCGCGAAAGTTCAGAGGATAGCGCCCACCGGCTAATGCGTTTAGAATGATGCATTCATACCTTTCAGCAACGTCATATGTGACAACGCGAAAACCGGCCTTAAAAGAACAAATAGTGTTCTATGCATAGTCCTCCGCGCTCGCCGATAGAAAGTACCGTATGGACCTGCGGGTAGGTCATTAAAGATGAATTCGTGAAAGGTATTTGTTCTGCGTATTATGAGTTGGCCAACAAGAACTGGGCGAGTCTGATGCGCAACGTTCGAATTTGGAACGCCTAACTCGATGACACGTATAACGGCCGACAATGAAACAACAATCCG